ACATCGTGTAATAAAAATCAATCCTGCCAAATTATAATTTGCGTAATTACTGGTGGTTCTGAGTCTGCACGGGTAGGTACCACGACCCTGCCTATTTTTGCCTTGAAGCATTAATGGGTTTCGGACGGCATGTGAACTGCAAACACGTTTTGCGCATCGATATAGATTCCTAATCGATCTAATATTTTATATGTAAGTAAACTAATATTTTAAAGAGGATAAGATTTGTTTGTTTGTTTGTTTGTATTGAATAGGCTCCGAAACTAATGAATTGATTTGAAAAATTCGTTCATTGTTTGGAAGCTATACTATTCCCGAGTGACATATGCTATAATCTTTTTTGAAAAAAAATTAGGGATCCTTACTAAAATTCCAATAATGTAACCCAAGGTGTACCCAAGGATCGTTTGGAACCTTTGGGTCTGCGGAGGGACTTCGGTTCCCTCTGTATTTTGTACCGAATGTTCCATGGGGAGTGCTCTGAGGAATTGTTCGAGATGATACTGGCATTGCTGAAGTCCATGGGCGACGGTAACCACTCACCATCAGGTGGGCCGTAAGCTCATCTGCCTACAAGGACAATAAAAAAAAAGGTGTAAAAAAATTACCTAAAATATTCTTTACATCGCGTGACCTGCGGAAACTATTGATGATAGAATAAAATAATGTACTACGACTTTGTAGAACACATTATTAATTACGAAAAGTTTCGCGACAGCATATGTCTAACTATTGTAGTTATGCCGCAATAAGTGTCCTTTTATTTAAAAAAATAAAACATCGTTAAATATGGTTGAAATTTTTGTTAAAGACCCGAGCGGAGCCGGAGCGGGCCGCTAGTATAATGTATTTTTATTTGTACAGACAATTGATATTCATGATGACTTGACGAATTATTTTGGACTGTTATAAAGACACTACTGGATAAGAGAATAACTCTTTTCTAATACTATTTAAATTCGAATTCAAAACCAAAATCTATTCAAGATCTATTATCAGACTGGCGAACGAAGTCGTCTTTGTTTTGCACCATGTAAGTCCCCTGGCGTAGAGACCTGGCATTGTCAATGGCAACTTTGCGTAAGCTATACTAAACTTAACAATGTTTTTTTATCCTACCTATTCGCTGGCAGCGTAAGGGGCTATTAGGTGATAGGTGAGCTCACGGGGCTTAACTTGAGAGAGCTTACTAACACTGGCCTTAGCAAGAGCAGTGTTTCGCAGAATCTACTACCGGATCGGAATCGCGACCCACTGAGAAGATTTATAGCTCAGTGGGTGGTGTTTATGGTACTCCACAATACTTCGACTAGGCGGAAGCCCTGCGGTTTTGTCCCGACCTAAAAAAAGGAGATGCCATAAGCCGGCCAGTTTTTTTTTATTTTAATTTTTTTATTGCTTAGATGGGTGGACGAGCTCACAGCCCACCTGGTGTTAAGTCGTTACTGGACCCCATAGACATCTACAATGTAAATGCGCCACCCACCTTGAGATATAAGTTCTAAGGTCTCAAGTAATAGTTACAAGGGCTGCCCTACGTCTTATCCTTTAGGCCATGACGACTTCAAAACATGTAGGTACAAGACTTAATTTAGCATTGTAGCTATCAACGAAGGCTCTAGGTCTTGTGATAAATTTGACGAGCGTTGCAAACCTTCAGTTATGTTTGCGTGACAAACATGACAGTTGACAATGAGAATTTTGAGATAACGTTGACGAACGCGTGCGACCAAGACAGGCCCATAAACTCGCGGTTGCGATGTCCTGACAGGCTTAATTTGCTGATAAGATATACCTATGTTTTTTTTTTTGTATTTAATAGGCGTGTTTAATAACTTTCTGTTACGATGTGAAACTATTCCGTGAGCTGTGAGTAAAACTCATCGGATTCTGCTGGGTTCTTGTGAAGCTTTCGTAAATTACTGAGGTGTCTGTGCCTAGGGGGCACGCGGGGTGCGTGGAACTTGACAATCTGCAGATGTTGAGAGCAGACCGCGGGTCTAAGGATGTTTTTAGTGCCCAACCTAATCAAAAGACTGACCCTGCACTCTCTTATCCGACATTCGATCTTCGCCCGGTCAGAATCCGGTCAGAGTAGGGTGGTTCCTGCGATCAACACTTCAACCAGACTCGCGGAGCCGCCCGTAGGACTCTCGACCGAGGGTTCGTCGAGACGTTAGTCGACGATTCTATATCGGCCGCCTCCGTACGGCAACCCATCAGGCCGCCCCAGGCAAACTGATAGATGTAGGTAGGGATAACACTAATTAAATAGTTTATAGGTAGGGTTTAATGACGGAGGGAAAATCACGTCGGGGTCACCGGTATGGGGATATGCGACAAAGGGAAGAACTTCCACCGAGGGGGTGATATTTCTCGGTAGACCGACGCTCCGTATGTTGTTGTTCGGAACCTGTATAGACGCAAGCTTATCTTGAAAATGTCGTAAGCAATGTTCGGAAATCTGTCAAATATCTTGCGTTCCGTGATGGCTACCGCTACAGTAAGTACCGCCCAGCCTAGCTCTGCTCCGTAATGCGTCTCAAGGGTGGAACAGCCACTGTAATAGGGATACTGGAGCTTCGAACTTATGTCTCAAGATGAAACCATTTAACACCAGGTATGTCGTGAGCTCGTTCACATATCTAAGTAATAGAAAAAAAGGCCATTGTTGACATTACTGAGGTCAGGCCAAGCCCTGTGAGTATCACGGGCAGCCGATTGTGAGTTATTTAAGACAACAATTTTTAATGAATCCCGAAATCTCGGTGCTGATACAATAGATGCGTTGAACAAGTGCTTGTAATGTATAATAGATAAAAATGAATTGCTGTTCGTTAGTCTCGCTAAAACTTGAGAACGGACCGATTTGACTAATTTTAGTCTTAAATTATTTGTGGAAGTCCAGAGAAGGTTTAAAAGGTTTATTTTTTACGAAAGCTTAGGTATTTTATTTATCGATTGAGGCACTATGAAGTCTGCCGGGTCAGCTAGTGTATACCTAATAGATAGCTGCGAAAACACAAAACGATTCTATTTTTATTATATAAATGGGTGAACCAGCCCACCTAACGCTAAGCGTTTACCGGCATTAATAGATATCAAAACAATTCTTGAGACAAGTGCGCTTGGCGACTTATTTTTATCTGTCTGTCCTAACTTTTTTTAGTGCCTTTGTAGGCAGACGAGCGTGCCTCATGGTAAGTGATTCAAATCAAATCAAATAAAAAAAAAATTATTCAACATAAATGAAAGTACATACTTGTTGAACGTCAAATACGTCATTACCGTCGTTCATAGAGGTCAGCAATGCCATGGACAGAGTCAAGCCGCTGCCTCTCGTTAATTACTCTCCACAAGCATCGTTTGAAGAAGGACATGTCTATTCAAACCAGCTAAGTCGCTGCCTATTTATCTATATATTAATACGTGAAGCAAAAACTTTGTATCCCTTTTTAAGAAAATTGCGCGGACGGAGGAGTATGAAATTTTCTACACTTATAGAGAATATAGAGAAGAAGTGCACAATGCTAATATTTTTTTTAAATAATGCATAAAAGATACATTAAATCAATAAAGAAAACATTACACACACTACATACCATGTATTTAACGCACACACGCATGCATACTAATTTATTGTCAAACTTTTCTTCTTGACGTCTGTTGTCAAATTGAGATTAAATTTTGTTTGTCTTTGTTAATATTTTTTATAATGTAGTCTTGGCGAAATTTGTGATTATAGAAGTATAAAATACAATCATAATAGTGTACAAACTTACAAATTCCAATTAATTATAGTCGAATTTCGACTAATGCGGGACCTCTAGTTATATTTGTTATATGATCTACCTACTATTTTTATAATATGATCTTAATATACATTCAAAGATCGATGCGTATTTGTATGTTCCCTATAGACTGGAATGGATTTCGATTTTCGTAAATGTTCTTATTAGTCCAGTTGGCGACCTTGTCTGTGGTCTGATAACGATCGGACCATAGTCATATCAAAGATCGGCCAGCAAAGCGGCCCGGGCTTGTTTAGTTAATCACAAATAATAAATAATAGTTTAAAAAAACTAACAAAATACGCTTTTATAGAAAATCCAACTAAAAAATAAAAAATAAATTTTAATAAATTTGAATTAAAAATAGTGTAAGAAAAAATGATTATATTGTAAAAAAGCGTGGGGTGCTTTTTAGGATATTATCGAAATAACCCTCCTACTCATCTGTTCATAAAATATTTATAGCTACTGATACCATGCACCCCACGGTTTTTTTACAATAAAATAATTTTTTCTTACACTACTTTTAATTAAAATTTAATAAAACTATTTTCTATTTTTTAGTTGAATTTCATTTTATTCAATTTTTTTTTCAACTTTTTTAAATTTTGAATTGTCACCGGTCCTTAATAAGTATACCAAATTTCGAGCTAGCCCGACGTTTTGAAGGGGGTCAAAATCATGTTCAAAGATTCCGTTACATACATACATCTGAAGCTAATAAAAGCATAATATTAAAAACTAGCGGCCCGCTCCGGCTCCGCTCGGGTCTTTAACAAAAATTTTAACGATATATGACGTTTTATTTTTTTAAATAAAAGAACACTTATTGTGGCATAACTATATGAGTTAGACATATGCTGTCGCGACACTTTTTGTAAATAATAATGTGTTCTACAAAGTCGTAGTACATTATTTTATTCTGTCATCAATAGTTTTCGCAGGGCACGCTATGTAAAGAATATTTTAGGTAGTTTTTTTACACCTTGGGTTACATTATTGGAGTTTTTAGAATGGATCACTAATTAAAAAAAAAAATTATGGCCTATGTCACTCGGACATAATGTAGCTTCCAAACAGTGAAAGAATTTTTCAAATCGGTTCAGTAGTTTCGGAGCCTATTCAATACAAACAAACAAACAAATCTTTCCTCTTCATAATATTAGTATAGATATAGATGACTAAGTTAACTTAAATTGTTCCATACAGGCGATGCTGTGGCGCTGTGGTCGGAGTCGTCGCTTATGAACCCAGAGGAAGTGGGGGGTTACGTCGAAGGCGACATCCTGTTGTCGTCCTCGCGGGCCAGGAATGGCGTCAAGGATCAATCATTCTTATGGCCAAAGGGACACATTCCTTATTTAATCGATGGATATTTCAGTAAGTTTTATTGTAAATTCATAATTTTCAATAGGGACATTTATGAGCGTCATAATGTCGGTAAGTACATATTACCGTGCGATAAACGGGCTGTGATTCGAATAAAAAAATAATTAAATAATAAATATTTACTAACAATCACGCCACGTTAACTGGTCCCGTGATAAGTTCGTAAAGAACTTGTGTTACAGGTACCAGATAACGGAAATAAATGTAAGATATTTTATTATACACATACACATATTTAATATACATCCATAACCCTGGAAAAGACATTTTATATTTATCATACAAATATCTTACCTTGGCGGGATTCCAACCCGCGATCCCCTTGTGTAGTGACCATGTCACTTACCACTACACCAGACGGCCGTTAAATATCATAATATAGGCAATATCATGTAGCATTTTCTTCACATGCCCTAGATACATCCTGACGGATCCAGCAGATCCAATGACCCTTGCATTAGACGCCTTCAGCTCTAGCGCTAGAGCAGGCTTATAGACCCGTCACCCTACTCGAACTCTTAGCCGTGTTCGACCAATCTAAGTTCGTGCAACCTAACCCATGCATCAGCCCGCTGAGTTTCTCACCGGACTTTCTCAGCGGGTCGCGATTCCGATCCGATAGTAGAGTCATTCGCGAAGCAGTTGCTCCTGAGTTGTTAAGTCTCCTTTAGAGGCGCTCAGGCAGCTGTTGGCAAATCCCACCCCTCCTGTCTGAGCCTTTGCTCGCCCACCTGTTCTCGTGAAACTGGAAACTCCTCTGAGCCATCAGTAATACCTCATTTATAAAGAAAAACGCATTTTCTGTATGAATCACGTAAACTATAAAGTATTTTAAAGGTTGGAAAGAATGTAATGACATGAAAAAAACGCAAGAACAAACGGTAAGAATAGTTTTAATAATACGTGAAGCAAAAACTTTGTATCCCTTTTTACGAAAATTGCGCGGACGGAGGAGTATGAAATTTTCCACACTTATAGAGAATATAGAGAAGAAGTGCACAATGCTAATATTTTTTTAAAATAATGCATAAAAGATACATTAAATCAATAAAGAAAACATTACACACACTACATACCATGTATTTGACGCACACACGCATGCATACTATTTATTGTCAAACTTTTGTTCTTGACGTCTGTGTCAAATTGAGAATACATTAAATATTGTTTGTCTTTGTTAATATTTTTTATAGTGTAGTCTTGGCGAAATTTGTGATTATAGAAGTATAAAATACAATCATAATAGTGTACAAACTTACAATTCCAATTAATTATAGTCGAATCTCTCTATTCTAGTAGTTTTAATTATGTCAAATTAAATGCTTCATGGTTTGGTAAATTAATTTAATTTAAATTTTGTCCATTCTGAACGTTAGGCGCAGTGAGTGTAAGGACGTTATTCCGACTCAGTACTAAAGTATCCTTTAATGTAGATAGATGCTCACGAATGACCTCTACGATGAAGGAATAATATAGTGGTATTAAAATAATTTAAAAAATTTCAATTTGTCTTATAAGCCCGCACAGATAGGCAAGAAAGACCACTCGGCCTATCTCTACCGCAAAGCAATTAGGCGTTTGGTTTTGAAATCAAAGAGTCTCAATTCTTATAATATACTAACTATATCAATAATAATTATCAGGGTCAAAATATCATATTAAAAATGTTGCGTCGGTACCAGGACCGCATAATTAAGAAGAGCTTATTTTTTTCGATAGACTCTGAACAACGCGAAACTATCATGAAGGCTATTGCTGATTACCACCGGCTAACTTGTCTGCGCTTCGTTCCCTACACCGGCCAGCAAGACTACATCGTTATTCAAAGCAAGAACACGGGCTGCTGGTCCAGCGTTGGAAGGATGGGTGAGATACCTCTTGTTAATTTATGCTTCTCTGGTAAATTGAAATATTATTTTTGTTAAAAGAGTGCAGCAGTTTTGAATGAAATTCTGTGCCAGAATGCTAATCATTCACTCAAACATGTTTTGCTTATACGAAATAATTGAAAAAAAAAACATTTTAATTTAAGGACGTTGAAATATTGCCTGAGCCATGAGGCCATAATCGCTAGGCTTGGCATAAGGTTTGGTGATCGCAGTATGCTGCTATAATACTCGGAGAAGGTTTCTGTCTATTCTCTGGAGGATTCCTTAGTCGCCTTTTACGACACCACGGGAGGAGATGGTGTTATTCTTTTTTGAGGCCAAAATCACATGGTGACGTAAAATGGGTAGGCTTCCTATAAGGTGAATCGAAGACCTATTACGGTTCGCAGGGATCCCCTGGACGCAGGCAGTGCAGAAACGGTCGCAGACGTTTGTGGGCTGAAGTTTTTTATTTATTTTTTTATTGCTTGATTGGGTGGACGAACTCACAGCCCATCTGGTGTTAAGTGGTTACTGGAGCCCATAGACAACTACAACGTAAATGCGCCACCCACTTGAGATATAAGTTCTAAGGTCTCAGTATAGTTACAACGGCTACCCCACCCTTCAAACCGAAACGCATTACTGCTTCACGGCAGAAATAGGCAGGGTGGTGGTACCTACCCGTGCGAAATCACAAGAGGACCTACCACCAGTAACCGTTGAAATGTTTTTATAATTATACATTAATGAAAATTCTTCGTAACAGGTGGACGTCAGGAAGTGAATCTGCAGGTCCCTGGGTGCGTCAGTAAGAAGGGCACGGTGCTTCACGAACTTCTTCACGCGATCGGTTTCATGCACGAGCAGAGTCGGCCAGAAAGAGATGACTTTGTCTATGTCCATTACAACAACATTAAACCGGGTAAGATCTCTTAAAGATTTTCAAATCTATCTACATATAAAGTAAAACAAAATTTAGGACTGTTGCGATATGAAACTGGCCATTATCATCAGCCCACATACGTCTACTGCTGGATAATATAAGACCCCAACGGTCGTCACAGTGAATGCTGTTTACTGGTGGTAGGACCTCTTGTGAGTCCGCACGGGTAGGTACCATCACCCTGCCTATTTCTGCCGTGAAGCGGTAATGCGTTTCGGTTTGAAGGGTAGGGCAGCCGTTGTAACTATACTTGAGACCTTAGAACTTATATCTCAAGGTGGGTGGCGCATTTACGTCGTAGATGTCTGCAAAAGAACGAAAGATCAGTCTGAAGGTTTTACTTCTACTGCACACAGCTTTATTTCAATACCTTCTATAGGAGACGACCGTATTGGAAGAAACAATAACAACTGGACGCGAATGAATATTGGAGCTATATTTTTTTTAAATTGGATGCATGAGGTTGAGGTTTGTACGTGAGTTCGTTTTGTCCAGGTTCGGAAGGTAATTTCAGGAAGGCTGACACGAAGAGCTCCCACGGGTACGGCGTACCGTATGACTACAATAGCGTTATGCATTATTCTGAGTACGCTTTCTCGAAGAATTCGCAGAAGACCATCACTCCTAAGGTGGGTCCTCTCATGTGAACACGGACGTATTATACTGAACATATGAGCGCTTGTTTGTTGCTATGGGCAACTGCCCTCAAGCTTTGAGGTGTGTCGATGGGCAACACCATTGGAGCTGTGAGCAAGTTTCCTATCCAAAAGTTTAAAATTACCATTTAAAAGCGTTTTTCCCAATAAGAAGGTAGGAGTTTCATATGTGGTTCACTGGTGGTAAGGACGTCTTGTGAGTCCGCACAGTTACGTACTACCACCCTGCCTATATCTGCCGTGAAACAGTAATGCGTTTCGGTTTGAAGGGTGGGGCAGCCGTTGTAACTATACTGAGATTTAAGAACTTGTATCTCTAGGTCAGTGGTGGCATTTACGTTGTAAATGTCTATGGGCTTCGGTAACCATTTACGACCAGGTGGACCGTGAGCCGTCAATTCAGTTAAGCAATAACATAAAAAAAGGATTGTGTGGTTTTATGAAACCACGGTAAAAGTGAAACTTTTTTTCACATTATAGACATTAAACACTGACAAAAACAAACAAAATAGTGTGGAGCACTGGCACAAATGAGTAATAGTCTATTCACTACACGGTCAGCTGCTGCGAACTATAGGCGCCACCATATTGGCCTTGGCTGCTCTGACGAGCGCCTTTCGCTTTATCCCTACTCCGCAGCCGACCGTCACGCGACATGCAACACACAGATATACAATATGCAATACATTTTGTGAAAATAATGTATGAATTCCAGGTGAGCAGCGCCAAGCTCGGACAGAGGGAGGGACTCAGTCGTGGCGACGTCAGAAAAGTTAACAACATGTACAACTGCAAGAAAGAGTAAGTGTTCACGCGTCAAAGTCACACGAAAGAGGTAATGTACTCGTGTGTGGAGAATGGGACTTAAACAATGGAAATATATAGAGCAGAGTCGTCGGGAGGGATCGACGAGTGAATTAACCCATAGACAAAGCCCACTGTGTTTCTCGCCGGATCTTCTCAGTGAGTCGCGTTTCCGATCCGGTGGTAGATTCTGCGAAGCACTGCTCTTGCTAGTTCATGTTAGTAACGTCGTTAGGGTTGATTGACTCGGTGGTGCAGTAGTTAGAAAGAACCTTTGATTGTTGCGCCGGGGTTCGTGAGTTCGGTCCCGTATCGGACAAACATTCGTGTGACGAACTGGTCTCTCTCTCTCTCTCTCTCTCACATTATCTATTAAGCTAGGTATATATTTCAATGTATATAAAATTGGTATTTGGTACCCATAACACAGGTAATCCTAAATTAAGACTGGATAACCGTGCGTGATTTGTTCCCAGTCTTAAATTAATTTTTTGTAGTGACGTAATAATCCGTGAGTAATTCCTCAGCACGTGCTGGTGAGTTATTACCGCCGCTTGTAGACGCCTTCAATATCAGGGGCCGCTGCCTAAGTCTTCAACTGATAACACTAAAGTTCTTCAATGGTTACTAAACAAAAAAAAATCGCTCGACAAACAAACGAGAGAATGATACAGCCGTTTCGTCTTTGCCTATTTAGATATAGATAAGATTTTGTTTCACGTAGAATTGTGTGCGTGTTTCTAACGGCTTATAATATGAAATAGTTGAAATGAATGCACGATAAATGTTAATTTTTTCAACAATCTGAAAACTAGGGTTTCAATTATATATTTTTGTTGCAGAGAACCCCAAACCGGCTGGCTCGGCGGAATCTTCCAGAACATATTCGGAAAACCAAAGAACTACATAAGTTCGTTTTACTACTAGTGAAATACATCGAACGGTACACTCGGCGGCCCGACCAACCAAGATCTGATCTAGTTTTTAATAATTTAACTTCTATAATATCCTAGTCTCCTAGTACGTAAGAGTTGAAAATTGAATAAAATAATAATTTTGTTGTGTTCATTCGTTTTTTTTTTACATCCAATGCGTAATAATATCCGCCAGCCACCATTTCGAGCCCCAGTGTGGTCAGGGCGCGGAGGTCATGCTCCAGGCGGCTGGCCGATCCATCGTCTGGTCGAAGGACCGTCGAGGCGATTCGCCCGGTCCTTGTGGATTGGATGAATCTTGACCATCTAGGCGGGCTCCGGACAGCCTGCCGACTGAGGGAGGAGAGGGTGATGGGAGATATCTGCTCCGAACTAAGCGCTTCACTCTCTCCCCTTTGCCTTTTCATGAGTTCTGTTTCATGCGAGTTTCGGGCGTGGGTTGTTGAGCGACAGGAGGCTTAAGTCGGTTCGACTCCGACATACCCGCCCTCCATTCCCAGTGGAGGATGTGAGTGCGGCGATTTCCTCCTGAACAAAAAAAAAGCCACCATTTCGAAACGGCAATTGCTGATATATTTATAACTGCAATAAAGAATGTAGACAGAATAAAACTCCTTCTAATCTGAGACCACGCGTAGAAGATTCTCCCATCCGCGAAGCAGTCATGAAGTTACGCACATCTTGAAGCATTTATCTATGTTAAATCTCAGGCTGGTCGTGCACGCGTTATGGATAACAGGGAACAAAGATTACACGCATTTACTATCTCAATGACGTATCTATATTTAGAAACTTTTATATGAAGAAATGCGTCTGCGCATCGGAAACTGCAGCCTGGGTGGAGCTCCAAGAGGTGGACCGAATCTACTGGATGTGAGCTTCATAGAACCGGTCGTTATGGCGAACCTTGGGGATATTCAATATTGTACATCAGTGGGCGGATGATGATGACGAAAATAAAATAAAAAAAAACCCAGTTGAAAGTTAGTACTGTAATGTTTATTTATTTATTATTTATTGCATAGATGGGTGGATGAGCACACAGCCCACGTGGTGTTAAGTGGTTACCAGAGCCCACAGACATCTACAATGTAAATGCCGCCACCCACCTTGAGATATGAGTTCAAAGGTCTCAGTATAGTTATAACGGCTGCCCCACTCTTCAAACCGAAACGTATTACTGCTTCACGACAAAAATAGGCAGGGCAATGAGACAGCCAGGTTCTGTTGACCAAAATCTGCATAGAATGCATCAAAATAATATAAATCTATACTACTATATAAATCTACAAGGGTTTTTATGGATGCTCCGTTATAACTACTGAACCATGCATCCTATTGACTTGTACCTTGGTATCCATGTAGAAAATATATGTACCTAATGGATAGGCTAATATTCATATGAGCGTTGGACTCGCCAATAATAATGACCATAAATAATAATGTTAATAAATGCCCAGTGAAGCAGGCGAGTACGTGTAGTAATAGTATAAATCTAAAATAATTCCCTCAATAAAACGAAATTCAAGCTCAAGCATTCATTGATTTTAATTTAAAACTCAGAGGCCTAATGCGTAATATTTTTAATTTTAAGAACAAAATCATTATCTGTCGCTCGTGTTGAATTAATTCTTTTCCTCGTATCTGTCAATCTCCATGTACATGAGACATTTCACGAAATTGTATGCATTTTCGCATCTGCATTTCTCATCTGAAATAAAATTTCAAAAATGTGTTTATGTGGTGTATGTGGGCATCCGGTAGAATCCAGATACGCGCCAAAGACATTTTCATGCGACATAATATGTCGTTTTCGGGTCGTGAGTACAATTTGTCTAAGAGATACAAACGTTGAGGACATTTACAGTCTAAGAGGGTAGAATGAAATAAAAACGTGTGCTCAGTGTGCTTAGTGCGAATTTTTCCGGTCACCGTTTTCGTCGAACCCGTCGCTTGCGGCGAAGGGCTCGACGAGTAAATTAACCCACAGACACAGCTCACTGAGTTTCTCGCCGGATCTTCTCAGTAGGTCGCGTTTCCGATCCGGTGGTAGATTCTGCGAAGCACGGCTCTTGCTAGGGTTCGTGTTAGCAACGTCGTCAGGTTTGAGCCCCGTGAGCTCACCTACTAGTTAAGGTTCCGCTGAAATAGCCTCTCAAGGCTATCAGCTTAGGTAGGAAAAAAGAAACAAAAGCGAATTTTTTAAGTTCTCGATCCCGTAAAAGTTAACTTAAATTTGTATGGAGTTCGAACAGCGCCCCTAGCGGAAAACGGCAATCAAGAAGTTAATAGACTCGCACTAAGCACACTGTCGTATTGTTGACTTGATCGTTATCAGCCTGGACAGTGTGTGTGAGTCGTGATCAACTGGAAACTCCAAATATTAAAAAACTACGTGTATTACTTTCTCGTTTGGATCCGTCCAGTGAGCCCACAATTTTTTTTCTACCTATTATTATTATTAAGGTAACTACCTCGAGGGGTTATGCTAGATCCACCGAGCTAGTAGGTAAGTGTTGCTAACACTGACCCCAGCAAGAGCAGTGCTTCGCAGAATCTACAACCGGATCGGAAATGTGACCCACTGAGAAGATCCGGCGAGAAACTCAGTGGGCTGTGTCCATGGGTTAAGAGCCGGCAATGAGTGGTCGCGAGCGCTATAGTTTTGTCAGCCGCTCCGACATACATATATCTATTAACTCATTACATTTTTGTAATGGTAATGGGTAATACCCAACATTAGGGCGTGCTGCTCCCATTAGTTTTAAATTGGGAGGCGCGAATGTTTCGCGGCGGAAATTGGTAGGACGGTAAAAGCATTCGAACAATACGTCCTGCTATCGAGCAAATACCTCAAATGCGCCAGTGGAAGGGCTACTCACGTCTATCAGCGCACGCCACAGCCATCTCCTCAAGGTCGGACATCGGTTTTCCGTTTCTCTCCCCCGCAAAAACAAGCGCCGCTCTGGCTGGATTCAAGACGCCGTCTTCGGACAGTATTTCAGTTTTTTCCAGGACACAGCGAATATAACACTATGCAATAAAGTACCTTTTTTATTTTAAATTTTCATTACAATACACAACAGAAACAGCCTACTGAGTTTCTCGCCGGATCTTCTCAGTGTGTCGCGATTCCGATCCGCTGCTAGATTCAGCGAAGCAATACTCTTGTTAAAGTAGATGTTAGCATTCTGTCAAGCTGTGCTCCGTAGCTTGCTTATCAAACAAGGCAAAGCCAGAATACCCACTCGAAAAAAATAAACAATTGAAAGTTGACTACTGTTTTCCGTAAATACTAGTTTAGGGAATAATTTTCTTATAAAGGTTGATAATTATGGTTTATTCCTAAAACTGTAACATTAAAAAACAAAACAGTGTTCAGCGAGTGGGCCACCACCGGAGTGTACAAAAGTAGAAAAAAGTTATATGATCTGTACTCTGAAAAAGCCTATAATAATGATGAAACATTTCATCAATATGTCAGGAACTATTCAAAAGTATTTAGAAAAGTTTGTTTAGCGGCAAAATCTTTACATTTAAGTGATTTAATAAAAAATGCCCCTGACAAGATAAAGATGACTTGGAACATCATTGGTAGAGAAAGTGGAAAAGTCAGAAATAGCCACCAAGAATTCTCATTAAAAATAGATGATAAATTGGTAACTAGTCATAAAGATGTGGCTAATGCTTTTGAAAAGTTTTTCTCTGACATTCCAGTTTCAACTACCANATGGGGCAATGCGGCCGATGTAGAAACGATATTTATTCTGCAGAAAAGAGCTATACGCGCTATTTATAACATGCACTCAAGGGAATCCCTGAGGGAGAAATTTAAAGAAATTAAAGTTCTCACTATGCCATCCCAGTACATTTTTGAAAATTTGATGTATGTTCGTAAACATATTGAGGAGTTTCCTAAAAAGTCGGACATACATAATATAAATACTAGGAACAAACACAAGCTTGTTGTGCCGATGAGTAGGTTACATAAGATACGAAATTCATTCGGGTGTTTGTCTGTGCGCCTGTACAACAAAATCCCACAAGATGTTCAGAACCTACATATACATAGGTTTAAGAAAACTGTTAAAGAACATCTGTGCAATAAAGCTTACTATAAAGTCAATGATTATCTAGAAGATTACACAAAGTGGGAATGAGTTGCTCGCTCCGGGCATTTCAATATTGTAGTAATTGTTACGTTATAATACTCATTGTAAAAAACTCATATTTAAAAAAAAAAATGTAATATAAAAAAATTAATAAATAATAATTTATTAAAAAAAAAAAACATGCCCGCTGAGTTTCTTGCCAATTCTTCTCAGGACGGAGGCTAGTTCTTGTGAATTGGCGGTAGTTCTTTTGACGTTCAACAAGTATGTACTTTCATTTATGTTGAATAAAAATTTTTTGATTTGATTTGATCTGATTTGATAATGTATCTTATTTGTTTAGGACATAAAAAATATATATTTAAAACTATCACTATGTTTTATACCGCATTTAATTTTCCATAAATTTCATTATTAGCTGTTGGAGAACCAAAAAAAAAGTACCTTCGGCGTCTTGTCGGTTTCATCGGGGAAACTGCCGCTATCGTTCAGAGATTCCAAGTACGCTGAAAAGTCACATTTCATTACACAACTGATATGTAATAATAATATTCTTAAATCGATGTTAAAGCGCTTGGTGTTATTGAACTTCTCCTAATTTATGTTGTCCTGGTATTTTTGTTAAGAAATATGAAGTTAATTTTTAACTTTTACTATTTTTCCCTCTTTTCTTCGTTTACCCTCTTTACAATCAATCATCCTCGATCGACTTATCCATGGACTCTGACAATGACAGGGGCATTCTCAAACATACATAAAATGAAGTATCAAAAAAGTACTCCTAAAGTAAGTATGAGAAAATATTCTGTGGATAATCTTAGTAGTAGTTTCTAGACAATTAGGAAGACACCCATCCTCGCAACTGGTGATGTCGGGACATATGCGATCATTGATTTGTAGAATATTTCCTCGGGGCATCCTACTTGCCGTGGAATAAATTCTATGAAACTTTGTAAACTGGTGCTATTATATTTATTATTTTAAAGAAAATTGCGCATTCAAGTATCTGAAAAGAAAATTTCCTTACCAGATTCAATTCGGAATGATTCGTTGCACGCCGACATTATCTCTTCCATATCTAATTCCTCATAGCCCATGTTGTCCTGGTCATTGAACAGTGCGATTTTACTTTTAGGCGCTTCCGTACTTTTTGCTCTTGCCATTGACAATGTCATTAGAACGAATGTGAGGAACAGAACGAGATTGGCCATGTTTGCTGACAATGAACGACATTGGCATTGTCATGGACAGTTTCATCGAGAGGCACTTTAAGAGAAATCATCGTTGCAGATGCTACCAACTTTTGTGTTTCTTTGTTGAGTTTTTGTTAACTGTTTGAGCTTTTTATTAGTATATTGTTTAAAAAAATCTGCGTCCTTTCTCTGAAATTATGTATTGTTATACACTGGCATTCATATTGATTAATTCGCGCTTAGAGTTGAAATTAGAAGTGTTTTGAGTCTTAAAATAAATATTAAGTGTATTTGAGGTTATTGATATGATCAAATCAAAATTTACATTTGAGCCGTTTATAGAGTATATCAATATACGCTAAATTATTTATTTGAATAAAGCCACTGACTATGTAATTTGAGAATAAAACCAAGATATACATCTTTTTAGAAGGCTCAAAGTCGCGCAGCGAGCTATGGAGAGGGCTATGCTCGGCATTTCTCTACGTATCGAATCCGAAATGAGGAGATCCGTAGAAGAACGAAGGTTGCTGACATAGCCCGTAGAATTAGTGAACTGAAGTGGCAATGGGCCGGCCACATAGCACGAAGAGAGGACGGTCGATGGGGCAGAAAGATCCTGGAGTGGCAACCACGTACTGGCAAGCGCAGTGTGGGACGGCCACCTACTAGATGGACCGACGACCTAGCAAAAAGCGCTGGGTCTCGTTGGATGCAGGTGGCAATGGACCGGTCGCACTGGAAATCTATTGGAGAGGCCTATGTTCAGCAGTGAACGGCGATAGGCTGAAATGATGATGATGATACATCTTTGTTATATCTATATATTAATACGTGAAGCAAAAACTTTGTATCCCCTTTTACGAAAATTGCGCGGACGGAGGAGTATGAAATTTTCTACACTTATAGAGAATATAGAGAAGAAGTGCACAATGCTAATATTTTTTTAAAATAATGTATAAAAGATACATTAAATCAATAAAGAAAACATTACACATACTACATACCATGTATTTGACGCACACACGCATGCATACTATTTATTGTCAAACTTTTGTTCTTGACGTCTGTGGTCTAATTGAGAATAGATTAAATATTGTTTGTCTTGATTTAAAAAAAAAATATAGTGTAGCTTTGGCGAAATTTGTGGTTAAAATACAGTCATAACAGTGTACAAAGTTACAATTCCAATTAATTATAGTCGAATTTCGACTACTCCGGGACCTCTAGTATATATAAACATACATATTTGTTTAAAAGTATTGGTAATTAAAGATGAAATAGATAAGATGAAAAATATGATTAAAAATTCTGTAATCAGCTAGCCCATTCCTCTAAAGTCTAAATAGATTTGAAACAAGGACAAAATTGAAAAAATGGTATGAGCAATTGAAATAACAGGTCCTTTTGCAGCTATTAGGCCATGGCTTGTTGAAGACGTGCAGCATTCTATCTCAATTAAATCACCAACTTAATTTGAAAAAAAAAACAATGTAATTAGATTACGATCAGTCTAAGATTTCAATGACATCACGTACTGTTTTTGATATGCAAGACGGGGATGACGTCATTCACTTTAATAATAACATCGCCTTCATTAGGTACTACTTACCAATTTTAATAAATACAATTTTATAAATATGTGTTTTATTTTAGTAATAAAAAGTAAAAAGAACCTAACAAAGGTGAATAAAAAGGAACCAAGCTATTTATTGTATTATTTTTGAGCAAATTGTAAGAAATATGTTACTGACCTCGTCGAATCAAGTGTATAATATACATAAATATTAGAATGATTGTTTGTGTGCGGGCTTAAAATATTCCATCGTATAAGATTTCAGGTGATATCTTATATATTTTATTACTATAATATTAGTTTGATAGTAATGTCAGTTTCAAAATGTAAGGTAATTTAAGTTTATTGTAAAATGTTGTTGATTCCTGTTCGCAGTCGCAAATCACGTAAACACATTTGAATGGAAACATCGTTTATTAAAACTAGTTGTTGTAACTGAGTTTGTTTGTGTATTTCCATTTTATATTTAAATTGAAAGTAAATTGCGTTGGCTGATAGATTCATCACTGCGGAGTGTAAGCAGTCGGGGTTAGAGTCGAAATTGAGTGAATTTTCCTAATTGGCTACTTACAATTTAGGATAAAATTTTATTATACAGTTACGCCGGTAAGAGTAATGCCATCTATCGCCGAATAGCCGAAACGAATATCAAGGGAACTCGCAACGTCGAGAAAGCTCGTGACGCCATCTATTGTCAGATATCGAAAACACACATCGAAGATACTCGACTTGCCCAGAATGTTCTCGATAAATCTAGGGATGTATCGACTATAAAAGAGTTGCAGAGATGGCATGAAGCGAAGCGGAAGAAGTGAATTGAGAGTTTTAAAGTGTTCGTTAAGTGTTCTAAGAGTTGAATACAGTTTTAATTTATATTTCAGTAGAGTTTTTATTTATCCCGAAGCCCAGCGCGTAACAATACAATGTACTTTCAGAACAATATATTGATTCATATGTACAGAAGAAAATCTCCGAGAACTCCTCGGAACCACAGTGTCCAAGACTATTCCTGATGCTGAAGCTTCGTGGTCTACAGGAAAGTATCACATCGTGGTCACAGCCCTCTGCATTGGGTGAAATGACGTAAGGAAGATGATATTGAGACATGTGGTCTTAAGTGGATACCGGAGTCCATGGGCGTTATAACGTAAAGCAACCGTTAGCGATCGACTATCGAAATTTGAATTAGGATATTGAAAATTTAAAATAAAACAAACAGACCGACTCGCATTCATTTCGAATATTTTATTAGTTTTCAAGTTCAGCACTTAGTTGTAACCATCGATAATCGCTTCGAAACCACAATCCTGTCATCTCATTACGAATTGCCACCGAACATTGAATAGAATCGTTTACAAGTCAATTTTATGGATTGAACTATACTGGCGTAATGTATTGTATACATGGCGGTGTTCAAATTAACATTAATAGCCCGGAAGTTATTGATATTTGAGGATGATGGTAAATCATAGTTATAAAGATAGCCAGTAGTTTTTTTTATCGCTTAGCTGGGTGAACGATCTCACATTCCACCTGGTGTTAAGTGGTTACCGGAGCCCATAGACATCTACAACGTAAATGCGCCACCCACCTTGAGATATAAGTTCTAAGGTCTCAAGTATAGTTACAACAGCTGCCCCACCCTTCAAAACGAAACGCATTACTGCTTCACGGCAGAAATAGGCAGCGTAGTGGTCCCACCTACTCGTGCGGACTCACAAGAGGTCCTACCACCAGTAAATGCCTGTATGTATTTTTTACCTATTATACATAAAAAATAAGCAGAACAATTTCGGTTATTCCCATTTATTGTTTGTTCATAGTGCATAATGTAATCATTTAAATAATTTTAAACAAAAATCTCGTTATCGCGTTGTAGAAGTACCGTGTTTTAAGAGGGTTTTGGAGATTTTCTTCTTTTCGTGTTAAGAGTCGAACCGTGTTGTAAAAAATACCTTGTTACGAGTATAGAAGGCTTACCTGTGTTACAATGTTATATAAACGGATCCTCAGGGTGGCGGCGACAATTGAGACAATTTACTTCCACACGAAATAATATATTCTCTTTAGTACACGTTACGGTGGGTAGAATACGAATGCCACAGAGATTTGCTAACCGTCGGTATTTATACAATCATCTTGACCTATTTTAATACAAACTGAGTAGGTAATATTAAACGTTCATCTTAATTATTNTGTCAGTTCGGTTAGAAATTTAGGATATTCGGTCACGTGATCCTCGAAATGATCATCATCGAGTCCACGTCGTGTGCGCCGACTGAAGTTAACAAATTTTTCTGTCCCTAGGTCTTGTTCTTTTGACTGTATATGGAGAAAGGGTTCAGACGTGGTAGTGTGTAAGCTTATAGAAGTCGGTGACAGATTTTTTTGCGCTGCCATGTTAGGTGGTACAATGTAATTGGACACTGTACGTCCGGTAAGCCCGTGTGTCGCAGAAGCAGGTGGGCGGGGCTGTGAGCAGTGCACCCGGGTCGATGCAAGGAAACGTATATTTGTCTGAATTTGTGTTCTCACTCACTCTTATTATTTGTTGACACCACTTCCTTGTAGTTTTGGTCGCCTGGTACTTTATGATTTTATGCACTTTATTTTACGGAGTAAGAATTTAAATTAACATTTAAATAAAATTGTGACACGTCCGTAACATACGACATCCAAAGGAGGAGGGTCAAAGGAGGGGAAAAACAAAAAAGTACCTGAAATTGGTAATTAACTTTGAATTTAGCGGTAATTTTAACGGAACCCATAACTCTGCGTGGCTATAACGCACTTCAACGGTTTTTAAAATGAATCCATAAGCATAAACATTGTCTGATTAAGATAAGAATTTGCCCTCTTGTTTTTTGGAATTTAACTGGTAATTAGCTTGTGTCTTATCAACGACTGAAGATACCCTTGCACCGCCACAACCTTTCATACTAGCGGGCGACTTAGTCGAAGATGATTGTGGATACACGAATCATTTTGCCTCTCTCTGTCTATATATTTGGTAGTTGCTATGCAGGTAAAATAATTTGTACTCAATATTAAAAACTATTTTATATACCTTATGTCTGTTACTCACTTAAGATACACAGACATCGACAGATAAAGAAAGAAGAGTAGTGTAGAAATTGCATTTTGAACATACAAATATGGTTCCATCTACCCAATAAAAAAAACTTGTCCATATCCAAATATTTGATCTTCCTAGATATAAGCATAATGATATATATTTAGTTAAATCAGCTCAGATCCAAATATTTTTAACACATAATTACTTATATCATAACTATATACGCTTATATCTAGGAAGATCAAATATTTATGTGTATTTGGATATAACGATATCCAGAAATGTATGGTTGGATCCAAAAGTTTAAACTTATGTTTAATATTCAGCAACCGAAGACGAAACGCACTCAAAGATCGAATACATACAAATATTTAAAAACATTCCGGCACTCTTCGAATATCTGCTTGAAATGCTAGAAACAAGACCAGAGATACTCGAGAGAAACGATGTGACAGTTTTTGTGAAGAATAAACAATACCTCAAAAGGGACGTGCAAGAATTTCTTATTCATGAAAATGATTCAAGTTTAAAAAAACAAAACTTTATCCCTAAAACAAAAGAATTGAAAAGAGATACAATGTATGTGAATACAAATAACAGAAACACCAAGAAGCTTGTCAGGAGTTTTAATGGAAAAAGGAAAACGCTTAATGATTTCGCTAAAGAAAGAGAACCAGACATTGTCAGACACGAATATGGAAACAGTGTCAAACATTTAGACGGACACAATGAAGACAAACATATTGATGGCGCAAAATTAAATACCGTTAGCAAGAGAGATAACTTAACCCCTGTCACCGACACGTCTGTAGAACTCAATAAGCAAGTCAAGGATTTTTTTAACGATAACATTAATATGTTTGGAGTTAATTTGCATTACTTATCTCCAGAAGAAGTGGAACGACAAATGCTAACAGTCGAGCAGATGCTAGAAGAACATAATTCAAAAGATGATAAACAACAGGAGTAATTTTATTGCATATTTTTAATTTCCAGCTGAACTATCACTATTAGGTATGTTGTGATGCTGCCCAGGATCTAAAACAATAAAAACGAATATCATTAGTATTATTAATAGTCTTTTTATGTAAAAAATTAGTATCTGTTTCTATATACTTGTACATGCGTGAATAAATTATTACTTAGAGTACATAAAAGTTTAAATCAATGTATTGAAATTGTTGTATTGTCATGATAATATTCAAGTAAATTGAACTTTTAAGAGTTGGTTAAAATTGCGTAAAATTCCGTTACTTAGGTATGTACATGGATGTCAAGTTAATCGTAATGTTTTAAAAGAATACATCACATTGAATGAGTTCAATAAGAGAGCTTAGTAATAAAATGAATCGTAAATGCAATGAGATTAAAGTAGTTAATTTATTATTTAAGTTATTACTGCTGGTAGGACCTCTTGTGAGTCCGGACGGGTAGGTATTGCCTTGCCTATTTCTGCCGTGAAGCAGTAATGCGTTTCGGTTTGAAGGGTGGGGCAGCCGTTGTAACTATACTTGAGACCTTAGAACTTATATCTCAAGGAGGGTGGCGCATTTACGTTGTAGATGTCTATGGGCGCCAGTAACCACTTAACATCAGGTGGACTGTGAGCTCGTCCACCCATCTAAGCAATAAAAAAATAAAAAGTTAAATTACCGTTGCCACTAGGGATCTTGTGAGCGTGCAGACCTTCAGTGGAGCATATGAGGCCTTATTCAGAACCAACTGTCGAAAGAACATCTCCAGCTCGACAGAGATAGGGTCGCGGGGGTCTGCGCTGCACATCACCCGACTGACCAGCTCGCGAGTTGTTTCCATCTAGATTTAAAAAACAGCCAACATTTTTTTGTTTTAAATAAATATCTCTCAAGCCCATTTCAGTTCACTCTTACATTAAACACGGTACATTATATTGGTCGGTGCTAGTTCCGTTTTGGTGCAGAAATACGCAAAATGATTGGTGTTTAGTTCATTATTCGGATCTATTCACAAACACGAATTAGATACGGGTTCTTTGTAAACAACAATACTAGCTGTAGGATTCATTTGAGCATCAAAAAGCCTGTATCCACTTGATACGAATGCCCCGGCATTTCAGATTGATCTAGCTTGTGACCCTGTGAGGTCTGGTATACCTGTCTGGGTCTTTTATTATCGACTTTATCTATATTTTATTATCGATCTATAGATCGGCCAGGAATGTCAATAATAATAAGATAATCTATAATTTAATAGTATTATTTCGAGATGACGAAAGTATTACCTCTTCATGCGTTCTGTGACACGGCTCAATAATCATGACGAGACCAAACGTGTGGTATAAACACCACACCGTTTGCAAAATGGGATTTAAAACTTTTTCGAAGCCCGTGTGCGGAGATTCAGTTACTGTAAGAATAAAAACAAATCGAATATCGGTGTGAGCGCAAGCGCCTTGTGTAGTGACGATGTTGATAATAAAGTCGACTTAAAAACCATTTAAGGATACTTAAGCTTAAAAACGAAATATAAAGCTTCTACGTGTATTTTTGATCCTTGGCCCAAAATTTATAATTATTTAATAAATAAATATATCTTATGTCAAAGCCGTCAATTAAGTTTTTAATTTATTTATTCGAAAAAGAATTTTCAACGCTCCAAAAAAGTACCAGGCTATCATAAACTTGAAGAACACACCGAAAGAAATTATGAGGTAGTACGGAGTCACGACCAAATGCAGTAAGAACGAGGCCAGTAACAATAATACTATGATTCCGTTATTGTTGTCGATCTGTCTCACCACCTCGCAGATTGAGCCGTATGAAAGAGCGAGACGCCGTATGGTTCTCTGATCCGTCCATCCGGCAGTGGGAAAACGTACTGAAAAGAAGAGGAATCAACTGAATTTTGGACTAGTTCGGTAGATGACCTCTTTGCTTATCTGATGTTTGGCAGAGATCATAAAAATCACAAGGTGAACGAACGCCGCCCGTCTCGAGATATGAAGTCGAAATTTCAATTGAATCGGTTATATTTTCTTAGAGAGTTTAGTAGGCATATGCCAGATTCCCTTGAGAATTGACACTTGATTTGAATTTTCATCTGTATCTTTGGACGAGCTATTGTCAGTGAACCATCGCGCTTTCTTAAGTTATGATTAATTATTTTATAATCTGTGTTCCCCAACCTTTTTTTGTGCCATGCCCCACTGTAACATTTCTAAAATTTTTATGTCCCGCATACATAATTTTTAACATTAAAAAACTTGATTTGTTCACATAAGAAACATAAATGATAGGTTTTATGAAGAAATCACTGTGAAATTATTATCAAAACACAGTAAGTAATATTTCAAACATATAATAAAAAACTGAAATTCACATTCAAAATAATTTTAATGCAGATTTTCTTTATTTATTTAGTGCGATTGCTCCCCTAATGACCAAATTGCCCCCTTATGGGGCGTGGGCTCCACAATGGGAAACACCGGACGCACTCCTTGCGCTTTTAAACATTAAACATTTCCAAAAAGCAGTAATACCAAATACACACCGAACACTTTCTATGTTTATATTAAAACCATGACAAATTTTTACTGGTGGTAGGACGTCTTATAAGCCTGCACGGGTACCACCACCCTGTCTATTTCTGCCGTGAAGCAGTAGTGCGTTTCGGTTTGAAGGGTGGGGTAGCCGTTGTAACTACACTGAGACCTTAGAACTTATATCTCAAGGTGGGTAACGTATTTACGTTGTAAATGTCTATGGGCACCAGTAACCATTTAACGCCAGGTGGGCCGTGAGCTCGTCTACCCATCTAGGCAATAAAAAACATCTAATATTTGTATCGTCTCGGTTTTCCGAGTGGATAATGATCTAAATAAGAAATAATATTACTAATAATATTAAGACTATTTAACTACTAGGTATTATTAACAAAATAAGTTCAAAATAATTTGCTGTAATGTTATTAATGCATTATTTATAATAATTTGCGAATTTTTAATGAACTTTTTACCTGAACGTTTTGTCACGACGAAAGCGAGTGTGTCAATAGAATTGTTGACAGATTTTTTTGGTGGTTGCGGAAGAACCGCATTCGCCATGTGTTGTTCATTGGAGTTCGGAATTTCTGTTAAAGCTGAAATAGCACTGTACATTACATTACTTTAAATATAACATCAAAATTAGGGTTGTCTATAATTACGTTTAAAATAATACTAGACTGAACAAATGTGTATATTGACTCTTTGAGAGCGAACCGTCGATAGATCAACATTCTATTAATGCGCAGTTTGATTATAGGTTTTAGGTGTCGACCTGTACGGACGTGTCTTAGCGCGCGCATGTAAAACTTTTTAATAAGTTTATAGCATTTATAAATAACAATTTAAATTTATTTTACTGTGAATTATTAATTACGCTGTTCCAACTGCATACAAATTAAGAGTTAACTTTTACTCTATCGAGAATGTTAAAGAAACCCTAAGCACACAGATCATTTTAAAATCCATACCTGTATAAGAGATAGCGTTATTATTAGTAGTAAGTAGTCCATACTAAATCCCTAAGTCCCTACTAATTCCCCTGAATTGGTAGGATACTCTGCACATTTCCGTCGCGAAGTATTCTTGGAATGCAATTTGGAAAGTGAAAAATGCGTTACACAAAGCAATTGAGACTTCGCAAGCCTCATTGAGCCGATGTCTCAAGATGGATGTCGGCATTCATGTTGTGATGTCCACGGTCTCCAGTAAGTAACCAATTAACGCCTTCTGAGCTTTAAGTACTCAGCAAGCGCAACCAAAAAATAACTTTTGCAAAAAAAATACCAGGGAAACATAAAGCAAAAGAACAAACATTCCATTCTTCTTTGCTATTCATCGCGATTTCAATCCGGTACTAGATTCTGCGAAGCACTGCTCATGCTAGGATTACCATTAGCAAATTTTTTCAGCTTTACCCCGTGACCTCATTTACCCGCCACGCGTTACTGGAATAGCCCCTTAGGCTACCAGCGAATAGGTAGGGGGGAATTCATGTCGTGATTGATGTTTACTAAGTTATCAATTAACAACATGTGGGTCATATGTAAGTTCTAGTAAGTTGAAGTCGTTGTGGCTTAAAGGATAAGACGTCCGGTGCATTCGTGTTGAAATACGTACTCGACAAATGTTCACGATTGACTTCCACGGTGAAGGAATAACATCGTGTAATAAAAATCAAACCCGCAAAATTATAACTAGCGTAATTATTGGTGGTAGGAACTCTTGTGAGTCCGCACGGATAGGTACCACCACTCCGCCTATTTCTGCCGTGAAGCAGTAATGCGTTTCGATTTGAAGGGTGGGGTAGCCGTTGTAACTATACTGAGACCTTAGAATTTATATCTCAAGGTGGGTGGCACCACCGACTGAGACCTTAGAACTTATATCTCAAAGTGGGTGGCGTTTTTACGTTGTAGATGTCTATGGGCTCAAATAGTCACTTAAAACCAGATAGGCTGTGAGCTTGTCCACCCATCTAAGCAATAAAAAAATCATCGAGTGCAATCAAAAAAAGTTACCATTAGCGGAAAAACTACCAGGAAAGCAGAAAGCGTAAGAACTAACACTCGATCCCGCTTTGGTGTAGTAGTGTCCTCAGTCCGTTGTTAACCAACTTCAAGGAAGAGAGTGCCAGTGCCGCGATCAGTACGAATTGCATCTCCAAGAGATGCGCTATGAAGTAGCTGCAGTAGTAGCACCAGTACATTATGGCTATTAGCACTGCGGAATGAATATAAGAATTAAAAAAGGGGTTTTTTCTTGAGTATGTGCTTAGAAATTCACTATTTCTTTAAGTTTTGAAGTGTATGATAGTGATCTCTTATTAACAGTTTTGCATCTGTGGACTTAGTACGAGTCTAGGAGAAATGAAATAATTCGCTTGGGCTGTTCCAAATAGCCCGCTGAAGTTATGGTAGACGTGACGTCTTGGGCTGTTTCAAATAGCCCGCTGAAGTGATAGTAGACGTGACGTCTTGGGCTGTTCCAAATAGCCCGCTGAAGTGATGGTAGACGTGACGTCTTGGGCTGTTCCAAATAGCCCGCTGAAGTGATGACAGACGTGACGTCTTGGGCTGTTTCAAATAGCTCGCTGAAGTGATGGTAGACGTGACGTCTTGGGCTGTTTCAAATAGCCCGCTGAAGTGATGGTAGACGTGACGTCTTGGGCTGTTCCAAATAGCCCGCTGAAGTGATGGTAGACGTGACGTCTTGGGCTGTTCCAAATAGCCCGCTGAAGTGATGGTAGACGTGACGTCTTGGGCTGTTCCAAATAGCCCGCTGAAGTGATGGTAGACGTGACGTCTTGGGCTGTTCCAAATAGCCCGCTGAAGTGATGGTAGACGTGACGTCTTGGGCTGTTCCAAATAGCCCGCTGAAGTGATGGTAGACGTGACGTCTTGGGCTGTTCCAAATAGCCCGCTGAAGTGATGGTAGACGTGACGTCTTGGGCTGTTCCAAATAGCCCGCTGAAGTGATGGTAGACGTGACGTCTTGGGCTGTTCCAAATAGCCCGCTGAAGTGATAGTAAATTCCCAACATTTTACTACGATATCATTACATTCTCTCTCATCTAGTTTCATCCCAATATATTAAGATTTTAAATAAATAGCCTTCACCTAATTCTGCTCCATGTTTCATATAACAGAACGTGTATTCGTATGTATTGAATAATTCAACATCTTTAAGATACAAACTCGACAAAAGTACAATAGCCTAGCCAAAAGCCAATTGTGACTTTAAAAAAAAATCTAGCAAAAGGCTTGACTCATTAAAGTTTCTCATTCTTACGTTGCCTGTGGTTTAAATCAGCAAGGTACATGACGAACGTGAAATCGGTCACTATAATTACAGAGGTAATTAATAACATTCCAATAGTCAGTCTATGCAGCATCTTGTCCGTAAGTGATGAGCTGTATGTTTGTAAATCAGAATTTATCTGAAAGTAAAAAAATATATATTATATTAGTATGAAAGAAACAATTGAAAAAATGGTGAGCATGCAACTTGGTGCACGTGAAAGAAGTGAAACTTCTTTTGCGGTGTGTAGCACTGTGGTTTTCTTCATTTTTCATCCTTAAATCAAAATTATCTTGTAATAGGGAATGCTGTGTATAAGAGAAACGACCTAGCTCGCTTTATCCTTTCCCTCTCTCCACGGCCGATTGGTTCGCGAGACGCTCTGTCTATTGTCTCACTCTCACTCTTCCTAAATTGTATCTTATCTCTCTTGCCGTAACGAATCTGTCGCTAGTTAAATTTTAATCTAAACGCGCCTAAAGAAGTTTCACTTCAATAATTTTTCTGCTTATCCCCAGCGTAATTGTTGAGTTCATAATTGAATAAATAAACGAATTATGTAGTTTCCCGTATATAACCTTATGTATTCTGTGAAGGTAAGCGATCAGTCTCCTCATCTGTATGGGCGCCGTGTACACCCCGACGCCGCTAAGCATACCCACAATAACGACGTCTGCTATCCACACAAACCTCTTGGTTTCTGTTTGCATCCGAATTGATAGTTTTACGGGCACGGAAAAGTCAATCATAACAGCTATGAGGGTACACACGTCTGGAAAATAGAGTAATGTTTTATTTATATTAAAAAACCCCTACGTACATACACTAGAAATACAGCCGGTATCCATTTATGTAGCTAATACACAAAAAAGACATCTGTAATAAACAATTTTAATATTTGAGTTGTGATTTTGAAAATTAAGCAGTAGTTATATTTTAAAAGTCCTGATACTTTTCATTTAAGCGCCATCTATGAGGCAACTTTGATATTTTGCGATCCAATTTTTCCTCTCAAACCTAAGTTTATTATTATTTTATTCAAGGCTTTCTATTTGATTACACGGTCGAACACAGCAACTGATGTTTTATATTTCGCAGTTTCACCACTGAACGTGTTTAGTACAGAAAATAATCACAGATGGCGCTGTATAGTGTTTAAAATTTTCTCATTTTTAATCCAACTTACATTATAAAGTTGATTTTTTTTTCTTGCTTAGATGGGTGGAAGAGCTCACAGCCCACCTGGTGTTAAGTGGTTACTGGAGCTTGTGGCGGGTAGCCATCATACAACGCAAGATAATTGACAGATGCCTGAATCTCGCTTACGACATTTTCAAGATAAAGCGCATATATACAAGTTCCGAACAACAACATTCGGACCGTCGGTCTACCGAGCAAATATCACCCGCTCGGTGGAAGATCTTTCCTTTCGTCGTTAAGACTCCCAAAACTGGTGACCCCGACGTGATGCCATCAATGATACGCTGTTTTCTGCAATCGACGAGTAAGTTGTAGTAAGACAAGAAATCCACTCCGATTATGGGCTTAGAAACGTCTGCAACAGTGAATTTCCACGCGAAGTCTCTTCTTAGTCCAAAGTCTAAATGAAGAGTTACAGGGCCATAAGTGTGTATAATAGAATTATTCGCGGCTACGAGATCATATTTCGACTTGGTACAGGGCGCCTTCACAGCCGACCGTGGAAAAACACACAGATCGGAACCAGTGTCCACTAGGAACTGCATTTTTGAAGTACGGTCGGTGATAAAAAGACGGCCTGAAGAATGTGGGCAGTCGTTGGCCGCTACTTCCGACCGCCCCAGGAGTTTTCCGACGCGAAACTGCATGGCTGTTTGCACTTATAAGCTTTTGTCCCATAAGTAAAGTGGTAGAAACAGTAAGGGTGATCTGCGGGTGGCTGTCTAGGCTTGGAGCGACTTTGAGAACGACCGTTCCAGCGGCGCCTAGATCTATTTCTTGAACGGCTTCTTCCAGCCACCTGCTTAGAGAGCATGCTGATTTGCTGTGTCAGTGAATTGATTTGCTGGGTCATCTCACTCATCGTTGGATTGACTTGCTCATTGCCTTGGGCTTGGGAAGACGCGCTCGCCACCTGTGGTGCTGTTGGGGCCATTTCGTATACGACATCTGCCAAGTCACTCAGCTTTTCCATTGGCGATCCTTTAATCGTAGCGACTGCTGTTTGCACGTTCACAGGCAGACGACTGGTCCAGATGGTTATTATAAAATCAGATGGAACGTCTGAACCAGCTAGACTTGTCAAGTGGCGTAGAAACTGAGACGGTTTCCGATCTCCGAGTTCTTCGTGCATGAGAAGTTGTCTTACACGCTTCTCCTGTGATATAGATAGTCGCTTGATCAGCTCTGTTTTGAGTTTTTCGTATTTATTTGAAGCTGGCGGTTTAGTTATGATGTCTCTCACCTCCTTGGCGTATTGTGGTTTTCATCCAGTATCATGATTATTACGTGATTATTAAATATTATCAATTTAAGTCCATTAGAGTGACTTCGTTTGTTTAGAACACTAACCATAAAATATATGTAGTTACTCCGCGAAATCGGATTACACGTAATCACCAAACGTAATATTCATTCTGATTAAATTAATTATTGTGTAGATGTACCACTGTAGAAGTAGTAGTTCTGCTTCTAACTGTATTAGGTAGGCGCTGACACGAAGGATGGTTTACACAGTGAGTATAATAATATGTACTGCTTTGAATAGTTTATTGAAGATAAGTATGCGTACACAAACAAACTATAACAAGAGTGGTACCATAAAGAAATAACATATAAGAGTAGTATAGCACTGACACGAACGATGGGTAGCACAGCAAATATCGATGAGTACTGCCCGCAGTTTCTTAAGATTCCGAAGTGTTGAACAACAATAGATGATTGCCTAAATTCATAAGCGACAGCGATTTCGTCAAATTGTAAGGCGGTTGCCCAAGTAGTGGCGAGTAAGTGAGTCGCCACATCACTCCCCCGGCGAGACCGTGACTACGGTCGATAGTAATCAGGCAGTTTAATCTTTCGGCCGCTTCTTGTGATCTTTTCAACAGGCTTGGTTGGAGACATAGACATCTAGAACGTAAATGCGCCACCCACCTTGAGATATAAGTTCTAAGGTCTCAAGTATAGTTACAACGGCATTAAAAACATACTTACTCAGAGCGGTAACAAGTAAATAGCTGTATACACATAAGCTGGTGGACAGACGTATCATAATGTTACTCTGTTTAGCGACGAATTTCAAGGGTGCGATCCCGGCCAGTCTGGAAACACGCAGCGCAAGGGCCAAAGATGGCGGGACCATGCACTGTAGACGGGGTTTCATTGACCTAATAAAAATATATTAAATTTATTTTATTCGTTATTTCCCTAATAGGCAGACGAGCATACGGCCCACTTGATGGTGAGTGGTTTTTTTTTTTTTTTTTTTTTTTATTGCCTTTGTAGGCAGACGGGCATACGGCCCACCTGATGGTGAGTGGTTACCGTCGCCCATGGACTTCAGCAATGCCAGGGGCAGAGCCAAGCCGTTGCTTACCGTTAAGTAATCTCCACAAGCCTTGTTTGAAGAAGGACATGTATTAGCGTTCGGGAAACACCGTGGAGGGGAGCTCATTCCAAAGCCGGATGGTACGTGGCAAAAAAGATTTCTGGAAACGGCCTCTTGGTCGAGGTAGTATATATCACCCTCTTATCCATAAACTGCCACTTGACTTTGGCCACACTCGTAATTATTACAGTAGATGTAGCCAGGATCAAGTCATTTACCACAATAGACCCGAATAGACTCTTGACAAAGTAACAAAAAAAATTGTGGGCGGGAATTTTTTTTAGCCCGCAATGAAAAGCAAATATTAGACATCGCTCAATCGCTTCAGATTTCTTTATCCGTTTACGAGACAATCTTGGGTCCGGTATTGAGTTTTCTTCAAGCCTCGTGCTTTATAATTATTACTTACATATTTTAAACATAAATTGTCGTAGCCAGAGAAAGACAGGTCCGATCGTATTTAGTTCCAGTCAATAAACCAGTTGAGATGTTACTTCAAGCTAAACTAACTTATCATTTGGAACTCCACACATTAAATCCAACGAAATATTATCTAAAATCTTGATTTACTGTTGGTTTTCTTACGCAAACAGCTCGGTATTTGTGATTGATTACTTTCAAATATTACTTGGTTTTCGGAGGTATTTTTCTAACACAAACTTTGTAGGTACAATACATTTAAATAGGGCTCTGTAGAGTTTCTTTTAATTTTTTTATATTGCTTAGATGTGTGGACGAGCTCACAGCACGGTTAAGCGGTTAGCGGAGCCCATAGATATTTACCAGGCCACCGTCCATCTTGAAACATGAGTCCTAAGATGTCGGTTTTTACAGTACAAGTAGTGTTAAGTAGTTACTGGAGCTCATAGACATCTACAACGTAAATGCGCCACCTACCTTGAGATATGAGTTCTAAGGTCTCGGTATGGTGACAACAGCTGCTCCATCCTTCAAGCCGAAACGCATTACTGCCATCTGTAGATTTATAGGTAAATCAAACGTTTTATTAGATTTTATTGTCAGAAAAACATTTTTCATCTCAAAAGAAACATTACATGCCGATTCAAAATTGAAGCGCCATCTATGTCTTGCGAGGACGTTGACCTCGCGCGCCAACTGTTAATTGTGTTACATTGCGTGTTTTGATTTTCGAAAATACGGATTATGGAAAACAAGCTTTAACTAGCGGAACAAGAACAACTAAGCTTGGTTAAGATAGACGGGGCGATGAAGTGAAGAATGCTTTTGAAATATTTAGGATGTCCATCTCGACATTAGGTATAACTGAAAAATCTTGTGCCGCAATCCACGTTAGTGTTAATAAAACAAAAGTCCGTTGCGTTTTCACTTCGGAACCACAGAACCGAGTTCGAAGACATCGTTATAAAGTATAGTACACATGGGCGAAACTGTAAAAGTTTAATATATTTCGTAAACAACTTTAGAAACACATTCACTGTGTCAGTATTTGGTTGATACTTGGACGGTCTAGAGACGAGAGCAGTAATCCGTGCGAGATTGCACCTGTGTTTTGTCTGTACTAATATTATAAAGAGGAAAGATTTGTTTGTTTGTTTGTATTGAATAGGCTCCGAAACTACTGAACCGATTTGAAAAATTCTTTCACTGTTTGGAAGCTACACTATTCCCGAGTGAAATAGGCTATAATCTTTTTTGAAAAAAGTTAGGGATCCTTACTAAAACTCCAGTAATATAATTCAAGGCGTAAAAAAATCACCTTTTTTTTTATTGCTTAGATGGATGGACGAGCTCACAGGCCACCTGGTGTTAAGTGGTTACTGGAGCCCATAGACATCTACAACGTAAATGCGCTACCCACCTCGAGATATAAGTTCTAAGATCTCAGTATAGTTACAACGGCTAACCCACCCTTCGAACCGAAACGGATTACTGCTTCACGGCGGAAATAGGCGGGGTGGTGGTACCTACCCGTGCGGACTCCCAAGAGGTCCTACCACCAGTGATTACGCAAATTATAATTTTGCGGGTTTGGTTTTTATTACACGATGTTATTCCTTCACCGTGGAAGTCAATCGTGAACATTTGTTGAGTACGTATTTCATTAGAAAAATTGGTACCCGCCTGNGTGGTACCTACCCGTGCGGACTCCCAAGAGGTCCTACCACCAGTGATTACGCAAATTATAATTTTGCGGGTTTGGTTTTTATTACACGATGTTATTCCTTCACCGTGGAAGTCAATCGTGAACATTTGTTGAGTACGTATTTCATTAGAAAAATTGGTACCCGCCTGCGGGATTCGAACACCGGTGCATCGCTACATACGAATGCACCAGACGTCTTATCCTTTAGGCCACAACGACTTCAAACAAATATTCTAATTACCTAAAATATTCTTTACATCGCGTGCTCTGCGAAAACTATTGATGATAGAATAAAATAATATACTACGACTTTGTAGTCGCGACAGACTGTACCGCAATAAGTGTTCTTTTATTTAAAAAAATAAAACAACGTCGTTGAAATTTTTGTTAAAGACCCGAGCGGAGCCGAAGCAGGTCGCTAGTATAGAATAAGTCTTATATTTAAATAGGCAAAACACATTCCTAAGTGCATTTCTCGACCCTGTTCAGTTGATTTTCTTTTCCCTTTTTATTCATAAAATTTCTTTTTACGTAATGTCAATAACATAAGAGTAATTAGGATACACACGACGAACTGGTAGTAGGACGTGTTGTGTGTCCGCACAGGTAGGTACCACCACCCTGCTTATTTCTGCCGTGAAACAGTAATGCGTTTTGGTTTGAAGGGTGGGGCAGCCACTGTACTGTTAAAAGTGAGACGTCCATGTTACGTTGTATGTACATCCTTACACATCCTTGTACATCCTTACGTTGTAGATGTCCATGGGCTCCGGTAACCACTTAACACCAGGTGGACCGTGAGCTCGTCCATCCATAGAAGCAAAAAAAAATATTTAAATCTGGAAACTTTAGTGTTTTTTGTCGAATTTTGATCATTCCGCGAACTAGTTGTTATAAAATCACAAATGAGGCTTGTATAATATACTAGTGGAGTGTATAATACATAGTGTCTTGAAAATTTAAGAGTTGCCGCGTACAGATTATGAAGAAGTGTGCACTGTCCTCAACATTAAAAAATGTACCGATACGGTCTCCTTCAAATATTTAATGTTGTTGGACAGTCTATTTCAGTGCTTCCCAACCTTTTTTGTGCCATGCCCCACTATAACATTTCTAAAATTGTTATGCCCCAAATACATAACACTCATCACTTTTAATTATTATTCTCATAATCCTCTCGCAGGTCTGCTGGAAGATATTTCTTAAAGAAATAAGCAGTGCCTTTGTACATAATTTTTCTATGACTCTGTACTAAGTCTTCTTTTTTGTGTGTACATAAATAAATAAATAAACATAATTTTTAACATAAAAAAACTGATTTGTTCACTTAAGAAACGTAAATGATAGCCTTTAGGAATAAATCACTATGAAATTGTTATCAGAACACAGTATTTGAAAACATATAATAATAGACTGAAATTCAAATTTAAAATAATTTGAATACCGTTTTTTTATATTAATTTAGTGCGATTGCCCCCTTAATTATCAAATTGCCCCCTTGTGGGGCGTGGGGCCCATGTTGGGAAACACTGGTCTATTTGGACTATGATCTGTATCAGCAGGCAAATAATCTTTACGTTTTATTGCTCAGGATCGACAGACTAGTCCAGTAAACCTGGTATTAAGTGGTTAGTGGAACCCAGAGACATTGCAGCGTGAATGGCGCTGATCACCTTGAGGCATGAGGTTCCTATTCGATCCAGTTTAAAGAGGTCGTACCCGACTGGAAGGGTCACTTCTTCGCGACAGAAGCACGCAAGGCGTTGCCTACCCGTATGGGCTTAGAATTTACTTGTAGTGTTTACGCAATTTTATAAATTCTGCTCTTTTTATTACCCGATGTTTATTGGTTTATCGTAAAAGTCGTCTGTATACGCCTCGGCACCTTACACAGAGGACGCCTTTTCCATTAGCACACCAGGGCCGCGGAATGGCGAGCGAATTATTAAAAAAAAACCATTAAATAAGCATAAAAATGTACGTCAGTAATCTCGAAAATTTAAATTTTACAAGGCGCTTTTTGACGAGATTCCATCGTCAAATTCAGGTTTTTTTTTTTCAAATAAAAACTTATCGCTATAAAAATTTAAATATGTAAAGTATTCGGAACGTCGGAAATCGTAAAATGAAAATTAAAAGTCGGAGACTGTAAAGCAAAAGTAGCTTAATTGTATTTTTTTATGTTTGAATATTGATTACGGCAGAGTACAGAAGTTTGTAAAGTGGTGAATAAGAGCTTCGAATTTTTATTTATTGTAAATCAACTTGTATTGTTACTACAATTTTTAAGTTAGTCCACCTCCTGTTTTTTATTTGTTCCTGGTACATTTGGTATTGCAGGTAACGTTGCAGGCCTCATAATGGCCTGGAACGTGCCTACCACCATCTCTGTATCTCCGGCAAAATTATCCGTTTGGCGTTTCGCAATAGCTGGAACTCCATTTTGGCTGCGGTCCGTAATTAAAAAACGATTCACCGGGAAAGAGCTTCTCGCTTCGTCTATGTCCCTGGTAGGATCTTTCAATTTATGTGATTTGTCGTTAATGCTCTCGGCTGTGGCAAAATACAGTGGCGAGCTCCTTATCTGTTCTGTAAGCCTAGTAGATGTCTGGATTTTGTCGGTCATGTCATTGTTGTAAAACGCAAACAT